TTACTCATAAAAGGCCTTCACAGTATTCTAGCCCCCAGCATTATTTTTTTTAATATCTTAAATACCAAATATGATAACCAAGGAGATCTAATTACTTCAGAGAGAACTGATGCAGCAATGTGTCAGTTGAAATAACAGATTGGAGAGACTCATGGGTCGGAGAGGCCCGGGGGGGCGTGGTGAGGTGCTGACACATGACGTCGTGTCAGGTTAGCATGGTTATTCTCGCTGAAGGAAATGATTTTTAGATTGGCTGACATCTTTTTAATCTGTTACATACATAGTGGGTGTATTTCCTGGTTCAGGCCGATTTCTTCCATTCATTTATGGATTCAAAATACCTCTTACTGTTACATGCTGTGGGTGCTGGGCTCTGAACGTGACATATAAAAGTATGATACTGACACCAAGTGACTTCCACGTCCTCCCGGGTGGAACCCTAATGTCCCGTTGAGGTATACTGAGGACGTAGCTTTACTCTCACCCGTCGTAAGTGTACATTTTGGAACGCTTCCGTCGCCCCACCGAGAGCCATCCCCTGTGCCCACGCCCACCCCAGCCCGACACCACTCCTCCCTCTTTGTCTCTGTAGTGGTTCCTTTTCTGGACCTTCCGTGTGAGGCAGTCATGGAATACGTGGGCTCTTGCGTCTGGCTTCTTCCGCTCGGCAGGACATTTCCGGGTCACCGTGCTGCTCCCGGTCTCAGCGCTGCTGGGCGGTGTGCGGTCACTAGTCGATGGGCTTTTAGAGTGTTTCTCCTTTCTGCCTCTTATAAATAACGCCGCTGTGGACATTCACATACAAACCTCTTAGTTCCTGTATGTTTTTATTTCCCTTGGGTGTATACGCAGGAGTAGTGTTGCCGGGTTGTATGATAAATTTATAGTTAACTATTTAAGAAACTGTCAAAACTACTTTCCAAAGTGGATGTGTATACCCTTTACATCCCTCTATCAATTTATCCCTCAGATGCATTTTAAAATCAAAATATATGACTGGAAGAGGTGAGTTAGCTTTTTTTTGTTGTGTGTGTATATATATATATATTTTTTAATTTAAGTATAGTCAGTTTACAATGTTACATCAATGTCTGGTGTACAGCAAATTTTTTAGTTAGTTTTTGACCTCACCTGGTATCAAATAAAAAGTAAGGAGGCTAATGAATATTTATTGTGAAGTGATTTTGCTTTGTTCCTGCTCTGTCCTTGAGGCATAATCTCAGCCTCACACTGCGATGCTCAGAGGTTCCGGGGCCTTCCACTACCGTTATGATCGCTGTTGAGAATGTTAAACTCCAATGAAATGTTGTCAGGGATTATTTATACCAAGAAGAATAATGGACTTCTTATGCCATTTTAGGTCAGTAATGAGAAAATGAGCAAGATGTGATGCGCTTAGATATGAAAACATTCTGACATAAATGTATTTGTTTCTCATAGGAGCCCAGAGGAAATGCAAGGGTGGATAAACAAAATTAATTGTGTGGCAGCTGTGTTTTCGGCACCGCCATTTCCAGCAGCCATTGGGTCTCAGAAGAAGTTTAGCCGCCCTCTCTTGCCCGCCACCACAACAAAGTTGTCTCAGGTAAGGCATTTTGATTGTGATTTGGTCTCGGAAAAAAATACTTCGTTAACTAATCTTCTTAATAATTTGTATTTGAGAAACCCTCCCTATTTGGTGGGGGCCGCGGAAGGGCAGTGTTGTGTAAGTGGGTAAATGCAGCGTGCTGGGCTTTGCGCTTCACGTGGAAAGTGACACGGTTCAGTCAAGGTCGGTCGGACACATGCTTTGAATCCGTTTCTAAAATTTATGTTAGTTTGCTACTCAATTAGTCATACCAGCCTTGTTTTTTTTGTTGTTGTTGTTTTGTTTCTGTTTTTACTAACAACTCATTTTTTTAAATTGAGGTATAGTCAGTTACAATGTGTCAATTTCTGGTATACAACATCGTGTCCCAGTCGTGCGTATAATATACATATATTCGTTTTCATATTCTTTTTCATGTAAAGTCATATTGAATATAGTTCCCTGTGCTATACAGAAGAAATTTTTTTATAGATAGTGGTTCACATATTTTTTTAAATGACTGGCTAGTGTTACGCATCCAGGCTTAGGAAGGAGCTTTTTATTCATCGTCATTTAATTTTTCATTGTATTGAGCTTTTCCCGTATTCCAGTCCGTGTTCATTGATGCTGGCTTATACAACTATTCCCAGGGATCTGCTATTCATAGTCCAATGGGGCAGAACCTTCCAGGCCCCTGCAGGAGGACCTAAGTGGGCCCAGGTGGTTTTCCAGCTGATAAAGACCAAGCACAGCAGAGCTCTGTGCCAGACGTGTTCACAGGAGCTGCCCTCCTGCTGTCAGATCGGTCTCTCTGAGGATCACATTGTATCGTGTCCTTTTCCTACTTAGAACTCTGTTCTGAGGACATTGCCTACCACCCACGTGTGCCAACTTTAAACCTGTCCTCAGTGCCACTGCTGCCACTGACTGGTGAAGGACTTTGGAAGCCACTGTGATGTCCTTGTGAATTTCTCATTGGTTGAATGATAGAAGTGGTTTCATCTGACTCTGATCAACCAGGTCTTGATATTAACTAGCTCTTTCTACACATCTGATAATCAATTATCAATGATACATTTATTAGTAAGTCTGTCTCATGTGCCTGTTAGACCTCAGAGTCTATTTTTGGCTCTGGGAATAGAAAGGTAAATGAAACCCAGGCAGCCTCTGGGACTGCGCTGGCGAATACAGACAAGCAAGTGATCACAGCAGAGTTGATGAGCGATATGGGAAGGGAAGTCCAGAGTGCTGTAGGGGTACAGGAAAGGGGTCCCCAGCCTGGGCTTGGAGGGGAGGGAGGAAGTGTGATAGCTAACACGAAGCTTACAGGATGAGCAGTGGCTGGGTGTGGTGTGGAAAGAGAATGATCCAGCAGAGGGTCAGAGAGACCCAGAGGAGAGAACACCAGGATGCAGGAACCACACAGAAGTTATCAGACATGACTTGAGTGCAGGGTGTTGAGAAAAGGCAAGAAATGTTCCTCCATGGAGGGAAGCAGAGGCCGAGTGCTGGAAGGTCTTGTTCGTCATGTGTAGGATTTTGGGTGGTTTGCTGGTTCCCCACCTTCCTTAGGGTCACAGTTTCAGCAGGAAATCAGTGTGATCAAAATCTGTGCTTTAAAAAGTATACTCATTATAAGAGGAAGAAAGTTACCAGGGGAGGAAAGTACTAGAAGCAGAAAGTCACTTTCAGTAACGCAGAGGAGACGCAGCTTAGCTGGAGGAGAGGCGGGGAGAGTGGGGTGTTCGGGAGGGCTTGGTGGTCCTCAGTGGCCCCTCAGAGGGGAGGACCAAGGGCTGTCACCAGGCTCGGGCACTGCGGACTGTGGTGTCTGACTTGGCTCTGGGGACGTCATCGTCTGCTGGTTTCCCCCCTGTTGCATCTCCCAGGGTCCTTTCCTGGGTTCTTTTCCTCTTTTTACCTCCGGGTGTTGCAGTGAGTGCTTAGAAGGCAACCAGAACAGACACTTGAGAAACAGTAGTTTTCAACTTAGGAAAAAACAGGGAGAGTGTTGTGCCAAGACAAGGGGAGAAAGGTCAGGCACAGCTGGGACAAAAACGATCTCCCATGAGGTGGCAGAGGTCGCCAGGTCCTCTGGTGAGAACAGCTTCCTGGATGGTTGGAGCTGCCACGCTGGCCGTGCTCGGTCCTCGAGGGGGATGGAAGGCAGTGAGCAAGTCCTGCCATCAGTTCATAGAAACAGACTTGTGCTGAGAAGAGAGGACACATGGTTTCAGGAGACATGCTTCTGTTTTTGTAAATTCATAATTATTGTTAACGTGAATTGGACGCTCCCCATGAAAGCAATCCTGTGTAGTTCATAGACTACCAAGAAAGCTCTTAAGCCCAAGCCTGCTCACTGTACAAGGCAGAATGGCTTTAACCTACACGGATGGTAAATATTCTAAGAGAAAAGGAAGGCCTTTCCTCGCTGATGATTGGAAAGCACGTCGGCAGACTTCTCCCTCTGCCCAGCTAAAATGAACTCTTACAGCAAATGCATTTCCCCGCTTTAGTTTTGGGTGCTTAACGTAAATGGTAAACCACATCACGTAAGGTAAGAGGAGAGAAAAATCACTGAACGAGGAGAGGCAAAAAAAAATACCTTTAGAAGTTGGGTTCTGTCCTATTAATTTCACTAGGCATTTTCCCGTTGTTACTTTTCAGTAGGTTGGTCTTTCTCACAGTTGAGTCCTCCTGTAAAAGACCCAGGGGGAACAGAGAGTGGAAGTTAGAGAGGAACACGGACAAGCCTGGAGCAGCCCCGGAGCTTTTCCTCGTCCTTTCCTCGCCGTAGGAGCCACATTTCTGTTTATCTTCTACTTTGGCAGATGTGCTGCTATCCTGTTTACGTTTGGGCCTCTTGTACATGAAAATGACCGTGTACATCTGTTTGTGTATTTTGACCACAAAACCACAAGACCTTATCAAGGCAGACTCTCTTACTTGAAACAAATATCCTACATTGAAAAAAAAAAATGCATAAATTTTTGGATATTCTTCTTCATTTATGGTATAAATCCACAAAGTTGCAAGAATGCATATGAAGTGTAATCAAAATGATGGGTTCAAGATTTTACATAAGAAAGTCATAACCAAAACACAGCATCCTCCTGAGTCACAGAAGATGGCCAAGCGCTTTCGGGGACTTAATGTCTTCGTAAAGCATACGGTGATCTCACCCCTCGCAGGGAAATCACCGAGCTGCTGTGGGTCTCAGTTTTCCACCTGGAAAATGAGGAGATGGTCTAGAATGTTTTTAAGGTTCTTTCTATCTGGATTTTTTTGTCCAGTCATCATGTTTGTTTACTAACAATGGAAAGGTGTTCTACCTTTGAGAGTAACGGGACAGTTTACAGACAAATACGTAGAACCCGGCATGTGATAAAGGACAGGTCAGAGGCAGGGAGCGAGTAAGTTTGCACACAGCCTTGTGCGGCCTGGTGTTTGGGGCCCCACCCACTTCAGACAGAGACCCTTGGGGGATGTCTCCGCTGGAGTCACAGTCCACCTTCAGTGAGCCTGGGATGTGTGTCTGAATGCGCTTTCGAGGTCTCCCAGGCCTTGAAGACCAGGCTGTGTCCTTCAGCCCGGGCGTTCTCAGTCTCAGCACTGCTGACCTTTTGGCCTGATTCATTGCCATAGATGATAGGATGTTTATCAGTCTCCCCAGCCTCTACCCCCTTGATGCCCATATCATCCTGTTACAGCAGCCTGGATCCTGGTGAGAGACCAAGTGACACTCAGAGGGTTGGAGACCTCAGGTTTACTACGCCAGCAGGCCCAGAGGAGTTAACACTCCAAGCTCTGGACCCCGTTTGTAGGTTTACACAGGCTTTTATAGGCTACTAGTCAAGATTTTGAAACATTCTGCAACATCATAGGCAGAGTAGGTGTAAGAAATGGACTAATTGGGAATGAGCTAGGTTTGCACCATATGCAAGTGAGGTGTTACATGAGCTTTGGGAACCAACAGAATCTTAGGGGTAGGTTCCGTTCTCCTAGAAGCAAGTCGTTTTACAGAAGCACAAAAGCGAGATAATACCTCTGGGCCAGGGAACTGGAGTAGTGGCCCTGCCTGTGGGTCCTGCTGGTCTTTTCACGGAACTTCCCACTTCAGTCCCCCCAGTTGTGACAACCAAAACCGTCTCCAGACCTTGCCAAGTGTCCTGTGGGGTCACATTCCCCCCGCTGTTGAGAACCACTGCCCTAGCCCGGCTGTCTTTCCTTTCTCCGTGTGCCCCTCCCCTGAACGCCAGACCACAGGTACGTGTGGAATAATGTGAGTGCCCTGCTGGAAAAAAGTGAAACAGCGTTAGGAAAAAAACTAAGCACTCGCTTAGAAGATTGTTGGGTGCTTTTAAAGACACTATTCATCACCCTGTCACTTGCAAGCTTTTCTCTAATTTATTCTCGTCTCCTCGCCAGGGCAGATTAGCCTTCGTTATTAGAATTGATTATTGTCACTGCCGCGTGGTCTTTCTGAGCAGCTCCACTGTGTGGGAGGAGTCGCCTTCTCCTGGTTGTTTTTCACAGCCGCGTTGCCAGAGCACATTTTCCTTTCTTGCGCATGCAGAGACTAAAAGGAAATTTTACATTTTGGATCTCCATTTCAACTCATCAGGGCAGTCATTTAAAAATTTTAACGCACATAAGAATTATCTGAGGACCAGTTTAAATTGTGCATTCCTCAGCCCCCGACACTGGTCAGGCCTGGGCCAGGGTCCCCGGAGGGTGTGGGTTTCTGGGACAGCTCAGTGTCCAGCGACACTGGGCAGGTCATGCTGAGAGACGATGCCCTGTGACAGAACCTGCCTCCCTGGCCCTGCTTCTTTAGAGACCTGCACCTCATGAAGGTGTCATTTCCCCTTATATCTTGTCCTTTTTTCTTCTGTGAATCCCAGCCATTCCCTTGAGGAAGTCTGACTCAGGAAATGGATACCAGGTGCGAACTGCTGAGGGTCCGCCCTTGTGATCAGCGTGGATGGAAACAGGACAGTTCTGTGTTTGCTTCTCAC